TTTTATCATCTGGGAAGAGAAATATTATTCAATGAGTAATTTAAAGATAAAATATAGCCAGAACAGTGGCTTTTTTGAAAATGTTTTCTGGAAGCAAAACCTTCCAAGATTTGGGGCAACCTAGGTTGGTGTCCTTTTTCTGAATCCAAACTGCTTGTGCCCTCTGCTGGATGGAGTCACACTTTTAATTTGCACCCAAAGTTGTCGTTCATCCATCCATCTACCCATTTGTCCATTTTACTCTGAAGTTTGTGGGAAGCATTATTGGGGGTAAGGTGAGGATTAGAGGGGATACAGATGGGCAGAATCTATTGCTCAGGGAGCTTACAGAGAGCTGATCCATTATAATAAGTTATTTTCCATAGAATGTACTTTTCTACTATTAAAATCAAGTCATTCTTTTTTAGGGCCTTGCCTGGAGTCCATTTTCGGATCTCCCCCTCTCCTTGCCCCCCAGTACTCCCATCATTTGCTTTGCTTCTACCACCTGCAGGGGAGTCTGGCAAGTGGGGGTCGGAGCCTGCAGCTGTTGCCCAGAAGAGGAGCTGGCTCCTAGCAACAGTGTCAGTAGGCTCTGAGCACTGAGTCTGCCCCTTTGAAGTCTTCCCCTTCCTCTCATTCAGTTCAGCACCTAACTGTTGAGTGCTTACTCAGTACTAGGTACTGTGCTAGACTAGGAAAGAAAGAGGCATCAGCTAAGTGCCTTACCTTCAACAGCTCTGGGAACATTTACAAATTAACACATAATATGTAGTGATAAGTGCATTTGGAAGGAGACACTAGGAACTCTGGGAGAAGCCGACCGGCAGGGATCAGGGAAGGCTTCCCAGAAGAGGGTTGATGATTGAGCTGAGTTAGGATTAGTAGGAATTAGATAAATCAGGGAGGAAGAGAAGGATGTTTCAGCCAAAAGGAGCAGAATGGGCAAAGGCCAGCAGGGCAAGAGTGCATGCTAAACCTTCCTGGATATTATGGCATGACCAGAGAGGAGGGCATAAGGGATGAGCTGGAAAGGGTGAGGCTCTAGGGCTAGGCAGGGCCCTGTTTTCTGATGTGCCTTTTATACACATAATTATCCTTAGGAGAAACATGCATAGTACTGATCCCCACAAATAAGGATTGCTGTTTGATCTTCAGAGACTCAGCATTCTTTATCACTGACTTGTTTGCTGTTGTTCTTAAATAACATCTGAGCCACCTCCTAGCCCAGCATTGATGGCAGAAGCAGCTAAGATTGATCACTCCAAAAGTCAACCAGAGTCTTTTAGAGTTACCTGTATTTCAGATTTCATCTCTCTCCTCTTTAAATGAAGGAGCCCTGGTAGTATAGCAAATGACAGCTTTTAGAAGCTACCAGTTGCTCCATGAGAGAAATATGAGGCTTTCTGCTCCTGTAAAGATTTATAGCCTTGGTAACAGGATCACTAGAAATTGGAACCTACTCCATGGCACATCAACCACCTCTTTACATTGTTGTGGATAACCAAAATACCTTCATTTTCTTTAGGGTAGCAATTCCTTGGGTATTTTGGAATCACAATTCATCAGGAAAATAAGTATTTAATCCCGTTAGGGCACAAAAGGTTACCCACATGGTTGCAGAAATATCCATTTTTTATTTTTGTCTTAATAGATGGGTTAGTAAATACATTATTTCCAGTTGTGGTATTTAAATGTTGTGAAGGAGGTCTTTGTTTGTTGCTCATCAAAAACCCTATTGCTGTAGTGTTTGTAAGGTTTAGCAAATAAATACATTACAGGCAGCCTCCAGGTTACAAACTGCATCAGATTTATGACCACTCCTACTGAGTCCTGGTATGGTGCTGTGGGTAATGTGCTGGACTGCAAAATCATTTGAGCCATAAAGTCTGTGGTTCAAGCTCACCAGCAGCTCCTTGGAAACCCTATACATGGTAGCTCTGTGTTGGAAAATGACTCAACAGCACTTCACAGCAAATTTGCCCTTTAATTTTGTGTAAAATTTTCCTCACTTTGAAACAAATCAATCCCTGCTTTTGTAACAAATTCATCACAATCACCTTCATTTGCTGTGGGTGCAACTTTCAAATCATTGAAAAAGCTTCGAGCCTTTTCTGGAACTAAACCTACGGACTCAGTCCTATCAAGTTGATTCCCACTCATACTGACCCTGTAGGGCAGAGGAGAACTGTCCCATTGGGTTTCTCAGACTGTGAATCTTTACAGGAGCAGAAAACCTCATCTGTCGCTTGGGGAGCAGCTGGTGGGTTTGAACTGCCAACCTTGTGGCTAGCAGTCCAGTGCTTTCCCTTTTGTTGCTCTCCTGTAAAGCTAATTAAGAACTCTGTTCACCTGTTCTGAGTTACCTACAACTCCTTAAAAGATATGGTTAGGAGTGGATTTCGTTTGTAACTCAGGGACTCCTGTAAACTTTAGGGACTGCTGCCAGAGAACTGTGTTAGACAGTTTGAATGACTTAAACATGGTCTTTCTTCAAGGAGCTCAGACCAGAGGAAAAGCTGGCACAGAAACAAGTCAGTAGCAAAACAGTGAACCAAGTGCAACAATAGATACATGTGAAAGTTGTTTAGGTAGCAAGTGATTTATTCCTAAATAAAGCAAAGTGTTGTTTTGAGTAAATGTGTGTAAACATATTTAAAAACAAGTGGTGAATTCTATATATGCTATATGTAATGTATAGATGGGGAACATGGTGACTCCTCTATACAGTAAACAGTGCACTGTGAACCACAAGGTCAGCAGTTTGAACCCACCAGCCACTCCATGGAAGAAAGATGAGGCTTTCTGCTTCCACAGATTGACAGCTTCGGAGAGCTTCTACAGGGACTCTATGGAACTGACTCGATGGCATTTAACAACAACGTATAGATAAATAAAAATTCTACAATTTTAATGGCATCATAATATTCTATGATATAGATGCAGTGGACTCATGATGTGGCACTGTAGGATCAGAACTGGACTGCTAACCACAAGGTCAGTGGTTTAAACCCACCAGCTGCTCCTTGGACACCCTATACAAGCTTGCAGCGAGTTGGAATTGACTCGATGGCACTTCAACAACAAATGGATGTATTAACAATTTATTTAATACCACTCCTGTTTTCGGACATTTAGATTGTTTGCAATTTTTTAGCAGTGTAAAATGTACAGCCATGAATTTTCTTGAATGTATGCCTCCATCAGAACTGAAGAAGTGAGATTTGAGCAGTTTGTTTTGAAAGATGACTCTAGGTTCCTAGGTGGCGCAAATGGTTTGCGTTTGTCAACTAACCTAAAGATTGACAGTTGGAACCCACCCAGCTGTGCTGGGAAAGAAGACCCTGTCAGTCTGCTTCTCTGAAGATCACAGCCAACGAAACCTTGAGCGGTTCTGTTCTGTAACACATGGGCTCACTGCGAGTCAGAATCAACTCAATGGCAACAGAGATTTTGGTTTGAAAAATGAATATGAGTTCACCAGATAGATGAGAAAAGGGGGAGGGCGGGAAAGGGCTCCAGGTAAAGGGGACAGTTGTCCAGTGCCACAGTTCATGGGTGACTAGTATGCTCTGCTCTCGGAGCCATGCCAGCCACAGGGCCTGCCTGCCTGATAGCTCATAAAGCTCTGGGCATAGCAAGATGAAGTTACATGTTATAAATGGCATTTTAATTGGATTTGTTTCCCTTGTGCCTTGCTTTTACAGTCGTAACCAAGGCAATGTCTTACTACCTCAACTCAGAAAACCACCTGGACCCAGGGCCCATCTACGTGAGAGAAAGTGGGCAGCTGCACATGGTCAATCTGGCCCTGGATGGTGTCAGGAGTAGCCTACAGAAGCCAAGGCCTTTCAGACTGTTTCCCAAAGGCTTTTCTGTGGAGCTCTGCATGAACAGGGAAGATGATACTGCACAGAAAGAGAAGACTGATCATTTCATCTTCACATATACCCGGGAGGGGAATCTTCGGTACTCCGCCAAATCCCTCTTCAGCCTTGTCCTGGGCTTCATCTCTGACAATGTTGATCACATTGATTCCCTTATTGGCTTCCCTGAACAGATTGCTGAAAAGCTGTTTTCTGCTGCTGAAGCCAGGCAGAAATTCACAGAGCCGGGTGTAGGGCTCAGGGCTTTACAGAAATTCACTGAGGCCTATGGAAGCCTGGTGCTTTGCTCGCTGTGTTTGCGAAACAGGTAGGTATACTAATTAGGATATGACTGTTTCATTGGGTATGTTAATTCTGTCAAGCTTTGGGACTCAGTGGGCCCAGAAGTTTCCTCCTTTAATCATACAGCATTTCAGTGTAGAGCTTCCAAACAGAATGGTTCCTATTTATACATTACATGTAGCATATATGTATTATATGAGAAAGAGTGGAAGGCCAGTTTAAGAAGAATCATCATGGTCCTCTACTCTCCCCTGCCCACCCCCCCCCCCCCCCCACACACACACACACACTCAGACAACACTTAGCTTTATTTAGAAACACTTTACAAGAGTAAGTTGATCCCTCCATTAGGTGGGAAACTCTATAGCTTTCCTAATAAGAGAAAGTAGGAAAGACAAGATGTGGTCCTGCTAAATATCTTTTAGTGTGTTCTTGGAGATGTGATGTTTTTCAAGACCCAGAGAGCTTGGCCCTGTTTCAAACCACTAGATTTGAGCATTAGATAAAAATCAACCTTAAAAGAATGAATATTTAAAAAAATTCAGTATCCTAAAGTTTGGAAAATTTCAGATAAGGTTCCACCACCAAGGTCTATCTTATAACAAAGCAGATGTTTTCACTTGTGACTTGTCTTTGCTCATACACTTTTATATATTAAGAAATACATATATTATTCCACCATAATGTAAAAAAGAATTTAAGGTATGTTATTAATTTTAAGTGGATTCCTGGTGTGGCACTATAGGATCTGCTCTGGACTGCTAACCACAGTGTTGGTAGTTCAAGCCCACCAACTGCTCCTTGGAAACCCTGTACTGAGTCACTATGAGTCGGAACCAACTCAACAGTACTTAACAACAACAACATTAATTTTAAAAGAGAAACTTAAAAAAATTATTAAACTGTACGTACAATTTAAACACGAAAGGATATAAGGCGAAGCAAAAGCCTCCCTTCCATCATCTCCTGTTTTCTTTACCCAGAGGCAAGTTTCTCTGGAATGATAAAGAGAAACCGATTTCAGAGTTCTGTACATATACATACATTTATCACTGTCTCTTTTGTCATACAAATGGCAACACACTTCATATACTGGTACATAGCTAACTTTCTTTACATCATTTGAAACTCCTATATCATCAGTACTAATGCCTGTATGGTATGTGACTGAAATGTTTTGTGATTAGAAAGGTGACTTGTTATTAAGATGGAAAATCAATATGACCATTAAAACAGGCTAAATAAAAAGCATGTAATAAAAGAGAAAATCATACCAGAAAACATGCGCTAAGGATAATTAGTTCATACACTTTAAAAAAATTAAAAAGAAGCCTTCTTTCAGCTCATATAATTAATGGTTTCACCCCATACCAAAACATACTATAAAAAGAAAGGATTCATCCATGTGCAGAAAAGAGCAGAACCGTGAACTCGTGAGCGGAGCAGGCACCATATAAAGACTCTGTCTCTGTGCTGTGGTTCAGTTATGGCTGGACTTGGAGTTGCTGCCAGTGGAAAGGAAAAAGAAAATAAACCTTGCCTAAGTGAAAACATCAAACAGCATTTCATTGTAGCTCTTTTTATATGCATTTTGTGCCTTCATTAGTCATTGTAGAAAAATAGAATCATGACATGCATCATGTTTTTAAATGATTTTATTTTATAAAAGCAATATATATAATAATTTGGGAAAGACAAAACTAAAAATATTCACAATCCTATTTTATGGAAATCGTTTTCAAGAGAATGTAGTCCCAAATATGTTCACATTTGGGAATATATACTCTCCATAACTTTACATTTTGTTTTTATTCCCTCACCTACCATTGTTGGACCAATAAACAACATTATTACTAATGGAGAAAAGATTGAAGTTGTCAAGGACTTCATTCTTCTTGGATCAACTATCA